GAGGCAACATGCGTGCAGCAGCTCACATGTTTCTGAACATGGAGATCTCGTTTACAATAACACTGTGAAGTAATGAGAATCAAACAGATCTCTGTAACCCTGTGAAAGATAGTTTCTACGGAAGCTTCGAACTCAAAAGTCAGCAATAAGAGATTGATTTTCTCTTCGGCCAGTTACACAGAACAATATTCCATTGTTACGCAAATAAAGACCTTGAGGAATACTGAAGTGTGGGAATTAAGCACTATACTAGAAATATCAGGTAAAATAATATAATAATTGCATTTCCATTTGATAGAGTGCCTTGTTGAAACGTCTCAAAGTAATTCACAGGATTTTAGAGTCAAATGTAGTGACTGTGTATTTGTAGGTGAACATGGCAGCCAATTTACACTTATCCATGTCCCACAAACAGTCAAAGTGATTGAGCAATTTTATTTGGCAGACTGTTGGTCAGGAAATAGAGCCGGTCTTAATATGGATAATCGTCTGTAAATGAAAACTTATATTTTTCCTCACTTTAATTCATCTAAATTTTCAGTTGATATGGCTTGCAAACCATTACAGTTGTATAATAATACTCAATGCAATAGGCTGAGATTCTCCACTTGGCAACGCCTGATTTGATTTATAAAACACTTCCAAATTGATGGCTAAAGCCAGGCAGACTGCAATCTTAAATAAACATTAAGTGGAATGCTGTCTGGATCAAATACAGTGTGACCAAAAAGTCTTGATACCATTACAAAGTCTTAAAGAAATTATGATATTTTTATTTTTTTTAGATAATAGGTTGTTAATCACGACTTTTTGGTCACCCTGAATTTTACTTCTGGCAATGCCCACAAATTATTGTAATGTTGTAATCAAACAGTCCAGCTATTACTGAATCTAAATATTCAAATGCAATATATATATATATATTCTGAAATTCCTAAGTCAGGGTCAATGCAGCATGTTATATTAACAGCATGTTAAATACATCCCAATTCACTTACATTATTCAACTAACATTCAAACTACTGCAATAAAAGATACTATATTTCAGTTGTACAGTATATGTTGTAATGTCACTCCTGATCGACTGTTAAGTAGTTTCTGAAGAACAAGGTCAAATACATTTACATTTACAAAGCCAATCCCAAAGCACCTCCTTAGATGATCAATTGATTTAATGTTTAGGATTTTGTTTGTTACTTCAACAAAACTCAAATTCACCCATCACTCTTTATTTCATCCACAATACCACAGTAAAATGAATTAACACTGAAGCCCTGCCATCTGCCCAATTATTCAGATGGGCATAATAATAATCTTTGCATTTGATATAGTGCCTTATCACGTCTTCGAGATGTCTCAAAGTGCTTCACAGAATATACTGTAAAGTGAATTGACTGTATTTTGCAGGCATAAAGGGTTAATAATAGCCATTGCAATTGAAAAGCTAACCAGATTTTTTAAAATCTGTTTTATATTCTGCACCCCCCCACCCCCCCTTCAATCCACATTTACCCCAAATTTCATATTAATTGGCATCATTTTTGACTGTGGAATATTTCTGACAATGATTAGCTGTGCTTCCCTGAAATAACAACAATCACTTAATTTCTGATCAATTACATCTTGGAAAGCGCTTTGAGGCATTTGGTTTTCCGTGAAAGGTACAATAAAGATGCAAATTATTATTATTTATGACCCAAATCCTAGCATCAGAATGTGGCTGTACATCCCAACACTCCTACAAACTCACCTTATCTATTTCAGAAGCAATGCGTACAATAGGAAACAAACCCATTATCATGTCTGTTAGCAACAAAGGCGACAAAGGCCAGATCGAGGTGGGGTTGATTGCCTTGAACAAGCACTGTGGCAAGTGGCTTTCAATTCAATTATAGACACAACCGTCAACATGAAAGGGTCAATTCCCAATATGTACCGTTAGTTGAGCACAGCTGGAGGAAAAATAGTGATGCAACTGGCTTTACCCAGGTTACCGGGGGGAGTGAGAACAGCCACCCTTTTCAATGAACTCCACTGGAACATGTGTGGAATGTGGACATTGAGTTAGATTAGAATTGAACCCTGGTGTGATGCTTTGAATAGTTTGATGACACTCACTGGCCAGACTCACACATGTAGGATCATCCCTTGGCCTAAGTATGGACCTCTACTCCAGGAAGGGTGGGAATGCACTGAAGACAATTTATAGTACATTTAAAACCTGCTTTTTTGCAAAAAATTATATAATTGTCAGCTATTCTGCCTCTACTCTCTGGAACTCCATCCACCTCAGAGCCCCTCCAACTCACTTGCTCTATTCCTCCTTCTTTGTGCTCCACCTTTTGGTCATCTTCCTCCTCCCCACCCTCTTTGGCCCGCAGCTCAGGTGTTAAAATGTCCTCAAATCATGAGGGGTGATATATAAGTATCTTGTGTACTATATAATACACATGTTTCGCCCACAAATGTACAGTCAATTCACTTTACAGTATATTTTGTGAAGTGCTGTGAGCTGTCTCGATGACGTGATAAGGCGCTATATCAAATGCAAGGATTATTATTATAAAAGATGCTGCTCCCATCACAATAAATAATTTCATTTAAAAATATATATTGAACATGTCCGTGAATTTTAAGATAGATTCACACCCCCGCCCTCTCCACCACCACCACCACCACCACATTACTGAAAATTTTCTACTACTGCACAGTACTTTTCGTTTAAAGAGCAGTGGAAACGTCAAACTGATATCTTGTCGTTATTGCTGAATCACAGTCGACCATCTCGTCCCACAGAAAGAAATGGCTTTGAAAATGAAATAACTAGCGAAGAGTTTGGAACTAGACACCTGGTTTCCTTTTGTTTCCAGGTGGAGTATATGAATACCTTACGGAGTGGAGTGGTTGTTCTGTGGTAAGCAGTCCGTTTGGTTTTCTGTCTGAACTGTGCAAATCAGTGTTTATGTAAAGGACCTGAGAGAGCATGTGGAGACACATCTGGATCCACAGCTTTGCTGGCTCTGATAGCCTCTCGCTGGGCTAACCACATTGGTTGCTGTGGGAATAATAGCTCATCGTGGCATTGCCTAACCACTGGGACTGCAACAAAGTGTTTGTTTTACATATATATATATATATCATATATATATATAATAATAATAAAATCAGATCCATCGCCTTTTACTGACTCGCAACTCACTGCAACTCCTGCACTCACAGCACAACCTGAAAACCTTATAAAAATCAGACAGACAGACAGACAGACAGGTCGCTGACTTGAGTATCCATTCACTCCCCCTCCTCCTCCTCCTCTCTCCCTCCCTCTCTCCATCCCATCCCTGATCCCAACACAAAGAAACGAAGAAATGCAACGCAGTGTCTGTAAGCCACAGGATCTCTTTCGATTCTAAAGTAAAAGCACTGCACCGTAATCTCTTCTCTCCCAGTTCCAGGCTCAGTAACAGGTTTTTTTTTTGCACACATACACACACACACACACACACACACCCCAACCATATGGCACAGTGGGGAACCCTCTGCTCTTGTTTATTTCAATAAAAGATAAATGTTTAAGAACTGTTCTGACTTCGCATAACTGTTCTCTTGCAGAAATCTGATCCAAACCCAGAAAAATATGTTTGTCAGCAGAACATAAAAGGCAAAGTCGAATTGTTTTAAACCCTGACAATTTGGCTAAACAGTTTCACCCCCCACCACCACCACCACCATACACCCTCCCTCCTCCCTCCATCGATTAAAATAAAGCACTGGGTACACTTCCACTTGAATTCGTAATGAACTATTTCTATTGTTACTTTTCTTTTTTTAAAAAATACGAATTCTCAAAGAAAGAGAAAGAGAGAGAGAGAGAGAAAGAGAGAGAGAGAGAGAGAGAAGGAAAGAAAGAAAGAAGGAAAGAAAGAAGGAAAGAAAGAAAGAAAGAAAGAAGGAAAGAAAGAAAGAAAGAAAGAAGGAAAGAAGGAAAGAAAGTCGGGGGGGGGGGGGGACTGGTGAATGGGGAAAGAGCTGAAGAAGAAAAAAGGGGATCGACTGCTTACAAATGGGACTGAAGGTACAGTCAGTAAAGAGATAAACCAACACGTGCAAATTAAAGAGAAAGAAAGAAAGAAAGAGTACTGTACAAAGTCTCTCCTTATTTATAAACCACTAAGGACTCAGCACATACTGTCTGTCTGTCTGTCTGTCTCCCTTGACATCATGTCCCCTGCACTGGCACTGTCTGGGTAGCACTCTCCCCCTCCCTCTCTCCCCCTCCCCTCCCTCTCTCCCCCTCCCTCCCTCCCTCTCCCCCTCCCCTCTCCCTCTCTCTCTCCCCCTCCCCTCCTCTCCCCCTCCTCTCTCCCTCTCTCCTCTCTCACCCTCCCTCTCTCCCTCTCTCCTCTCTCACACTCCCTCTCTCCCTCTCTCCCCCTCCCTCTCTCCCCCTCTCCCTCTCTCCCCCTCCTCTCTCTCTCCCCCTCCCTCTCTCCCTCCCTCTCTCCCCTCCTCCCCTCTCTCTCCCCCTCCCTCTCTCTCCCCCTCTCCTCCCCCTCCCTCTCCCCCTCCCCCCTCTCTCCCCCTCCCTCCTCCTCCCCTCCCCTCCCCTCTCTCCCCTCCCTCTCTCCCCCTCCCTCCTCCCTCCCCCTCTCCCCTCCCTCCCTCTCCCCTCCCCTCTCCCCCTCCCCCTCCCTCCTCTCCCCTCCTCTCTCCCCTCCCTCCCCCTCCCCTCCTCTCTCCCCTCCTCCCCTCTCTCCCTCTCCCTCCTCTCTCTCCCCCTCCTCCCCTTCCCTCCCTCTCTCTCCCTCCCTCTCCCCCTCTCCCCCCCGTGTTAAGTTCTCCTGAAACTCCTCCAATTTCAAGGCGACCCGTATCGCACTCGGCGCTTAACTTAACTTAACTTACTTCACTTACTTACCAGCGGTGACAAAACGTCAAAAGGCAGCGGGGCTTTGAAGGGCACAGACAGACCGACAGACACACAGACACACACACACACACACCTCGTTAAGGGCAGCGGCGGCAGAAGGAGCAGAAGAAGCCGCATCTCCGCAATGGCTCTCGGAGGCTGAGATGAAACATTTCACAACAGGTTGGAGCCCTTAACGTCGGGGGTGACCCGCAGCCTCCCGTGCAAACAGCAGCATCCCTCCCCCCTCCTCCTCCTCCCCCCCCCGTGCCGCCGCTTGTCGCTGTTGTTGTGCTGAGCCCTGGCGGCGGTGCGGTGCTGTGCTGTGCTGTGGCTGTCCTGGTTACACTGACTGAGCTGCACTGGGGAACGAACCCGCCTCGGCCGCCGCTTCCACTGCAACCCGAGCCCCCGGACACCGCACAGCCGGACTGCGCCTGCGCCAACCCTGGGCTCAGCAGCCTGGGGGATGTAGTCCTGTCTGCCCCCCCCCACTGCTGCACATCCACCACACTATTATTATTATAATAGCGGAGTCCTGTAGCTCAGCGGTTAGAGCACTCGCTTTGCAAGCGAGAGACCTGAGTTCAATCCCAGGCAGAGGGCGAAACCTTGGGCAAGTTTCCTTACTCCTCACAGAGCCTAATAATAATCCCTCCAAAAACAAAAACAATAATAAATTGGTCATTTTCAATCTACGACTGTTTGTGGGACATTGCTGTGCGCAATTGGCTGCCGCGTTCGCCCACAAATATACAGTCAACTCACTTTACAGTATATTCTGTGAAGCGCTTTGGGACGTCCTCCCGACGTGAAAAGCGCTATATCAAATGCAAGGATTATTATTATTATTATTATTATTATTATTATTATTATTATTATTATTATTATTATTATTATTATTATTATTATTATTATTATTATTATTATTATTATTATTATTATTATTAGTATTATTATTATTATTATTATCTGGGGCAAAGTGCCAGCCAGCACTGACATCCCACCATAGGCAACAAGCGGCAATGATCGATTCCGAAAAATCGAAGGAATGCATCTTTTTTTTTCCCCCCTAAATGAAACAATATGTCAGGATGACTGATTCCATATCGGTACCTTCTTTTAAAACCAAAACACACACACGCGCGCACGCAGTTCCGATTCGCGTTCTCCATGAGTAAACGTTTGACAGGTTGTCCCCCCTCAGCCTATTTTTACCATCTCTTCCCCACACTGCAGTGTTGATCTATCAGCTCACCTGCCTTCCAATTGACTTCACACCTCAAAAAGCAAGTTAATAAAAGGACCAAAAAAANGATATTTTTATGTATTGGTGGGAGCGTGTTCTTTTCAAGTTAATCTCTGCACTATCCAATTGTTTACTTTTTTTNATTGATTCAGAGCTTCAATGTGTTTATTTAGATCTACAACGTTTGCTTTCAAATAATAGCGGAAGAACTATTGTGGGAAATAATCAGATCAAAGGTCAACGAGTGAAACGATTACTTTTTAAAAATGAATACATATATATCCCACATACATTCCAGCGTGGGACCCACTTGCTAGCAAATGGGTGGGAACCATAGTTGAAGGTTTCCCCTCTGTAACCTAGAATCATAGAATCACAGAATCTTACAGCACAGAGGGACCTTTTGGCCTACTGTGCTTGTGCAGGCTCTTTGAAAGAGCTATCCAACTAGTCCCACTATCCTCTTCTTATCCCATTGCTCTGCAAATGTTTCCCTTTCAAATACCCATCCAATTCCATTTTGGAAGCTATTACTGAATCTGCTTTCACCACCCTTTCAGGCAGTGCATTTCAGACTGTAACAACTCTCTGGGTAAAAAATTAACCTATTAATGTTAGATTACACTGATAGTCCAGAGCCTTGGGACGTCCTCCTGATGTGAAAGGTGCTATGCAAATGTAATTTTGTTGTTTGTTGTAGATTAATCGTTGCACTTAATTACTGATTCTTTTTCAGATAAACTACCTTGATACAGACCAAGAATTAAATCTGCAACTTTCTGTTTAAATAGCACCTTTTCACATCATTGAGATATCTCAAAGTACTTCAGAGGATCCTATTGTCAAGTGTAGTAACTGCGCATTTTGTAGGCAAACCCAGCAGACAAGTTGCACACAGCAATGTCGATTAAGTGAGTGGCAATTTTATATGGGGGATTGTTGGCCAGGACATGGGAGAAACTCCCTTCTTAATATCGGTCTGAAAAGGCAGAAGGAACTTCAGTTCAACAACTCGTGCAAAGGACAGCACCTCTGACAATTCAGTGCTCCCCCAACCATTACACTCAAGGTTCAGGCTAGACTATGAGTTCAAAGTCCCAACATGGGCTTCAATCATGACCGTCTGATTCAGAGGTGAGAATGCTACCAACTGATACCTATTTGATATGTGAAGGGGTTGGAAAGGTGACCTTCACCTCTGGGACCTTGACTTCAATCCAGTCAACCCGATGGAAAAATCTGTCACGATCCAATATCCAATTAACAGTCCATAATGGGTGCAAACTCACCGCACAGAGCTACTTACTATTCTTCTATGCCACAAAAAGTATGTAATGATGCTGATAGAGAACATGGCATTTTATTGTGCAGCAAAACTAAATTGACTATTTCCTCCCAGGACTGCAACAACAACAACAACAAGATGTTTATAAAGCGCCTTTCACGTCAGGAGGATGTCCCAAGGCGCTGCACAGTTGGGTCATGACCCGAGCAGGGGGGAAATGGTCAGGGTGAGGGGAGGGAAGGGAGGGAGCGAGGAGGGGGAAATGGTCAGGGTGAGGGGAAGGAAGGGAGGGAGCGAGGAGGGGGTAGAGAGTCGAGAGGGAGCTGAAGGCTCGGTCAAAGAGAAAGGTTTTGAGACCGGCCTTGAAGGAGGAGAGGGAGGAAGCAAGGCGAAGGCACTGGGGGATAGAGTTCCAGAGCCTCGGGGCTGAGAGGCTGAAGGCCGACCACCGATGGTAGGGCGATTGGGGCGGGGGACGTGGAGCAGACCGGAGCCGGAGGAACGGAGGGTACGGGCAGGTAGGTAGGGGGATAGTAGGTCAGAGAGGTAGGAGGGAGCAAGGCCGTGAATGGCCTTGTAGGTGAGGATGAGGATCTTGAAATCAATCCTGCCGGACCCACAGGACAAAAATGGTACAAAGGACATTGGGAACCAGTGTCCTTCCTCAGCACATATTGAAAAGCACATCCCCATAAGAAATGTCTGTACAAGTCCTCCAAGTATTCAGTGCATAAATAAACATAATCTTGCATTTGATATAGCGGTTTTCACATCTTCTCGACGTCTCAAAGCGACGTCTCAGTGCATAAACACGAAGATGAATACACAGATAAAAAAAAAAATCCTACTCAGAAGTTACAAATATTTTGTAATTGCAAGTATGAATGTGACGGGTACAGGAAGATGTTAGGTGCTAGACCATATAGATGGAAAGGATCTACTCTAAACCATACAGAGTTTTCACAATAACAACCCTTATCAAATGACCAAAAGTATGATCAATGAATAAGCATGGTTATTGAAGCAGAAATGAGGCTTTCAGTTTATGAGTTGTTTGTAGCGTACATTTTCATGGCTGTTCCGTGGGATATTACTGTCCAAATTAGATGCTGTGTTTGCCTACAAAATGCATAGTCATTACATTTACAATAAATCTTATGAAGCACTTTGAGACATCCCCCAACATGAAAGTTGCTATATCAAATACAAGGATTATGATTACATCCCATTGAAGCTTTTTCTCCACCAGTATCTCCACTAACATTCTTATACTTGCTAGACTTGACAGTGAGGAACTTTCTCGGCAATCAGCAAGACTCGTACCATTCTAAGTTTATATTTTAGAGTAGTGTTTTATCAGGCTAAAATTAAATACTTAACATGTAGTTAAATATATCATATACATTTAAAAGTCAACAGGAAATAGTCAGGCACTAAAGAGAATTATGGAATTTCAGACAGTCATTTAAGTGGCATCTGTTGCACAACTTTGCAATCTGGCGCTCGTGTTGGAGTTGAAATTGATTTCTGATTACAAATGCTGGCAGAGTGCCTCCTTTTGAGTTCCTGGAATGCCTGCTGCATTTCCCAGATTTTTCAAATCAACTCCGTGTCCATATCAGCACTAAATAATGATGTGCCTCTAACCATAATGTTTGCACATTTTTCTGAGTAAGTAGGCGTCAATTTCATTAATTATTACATTGAGCAGTTAACAGTTGTAAATTCAAGTTACATTAAAAATCTTTGTCAGAGGGAACACAACTATAAAATTTTGTTTCTGGTATAATTTTTCTTAAAACGATACCCCAGTTTTCTTTCCTCTTTTTTTTAAGGTGAATTGCCTCCCACTTGTGTACAATACTTTAGAACATGGCATCCATGCCCAATCAACTATTCTAACGTGTGAGCCTGGTCGGTAAACATCAGCAGGCTCAATCAATGGGGTTGGAGTTGGGGTTATCATGGCAGGTCAATATCTGATGTTAGGGTTCCTATACTGACATGGAGGGGATAGAAATAATATAAATAGAGAAGAAGATCCTAACATCGGTCACTGAGGTGTACCGTTAACTACTCATACAAAAAAACATCCATTCTCTGCCACCTATCTTGAAATCATTCCTCTATCCATTTTGTTACTCTTCCATGAATCCCATTTCCATCAGTCATAAAGCTTTTTTGTGGCACTTTATCAAATGCCTTTCTAAAGTCTAAGTATCCAAACACTTGGTTACTTCCTCAAAGAATTCAAGCAATTTATTCAGTCGTTAACATCCTGTTAAATGCTGAGTATTCCTTATTTGCTTATCCTTATCCTTATTTCCTTATCCCTTCCAAATGTTCAACAGCAAAAACAAAGCTTGAGGAGCTTGCAAACAAGAATAATTTACATTTATACAGCACTTTTTATGTCGAGAGGATGTCTCAAAATCCTCATATAACTGACCGGGCTAGTGTTTGCTAAGCCAGTAGTCACAGGAGGTCACAGAAGTATGGGTGGGGCGAGACAATGGAGGCATTTGTAAGTGAGGACAACAATCTTGAATCTGATCTGCTGGGGGATGAGGAGTCAGTGGAGCAGAGCTAGGATTGGAAAGATGGGCGTACCATTACACCAGCATTATGTTTCAGGGTGTAACCTAACTGTTGCAGAACTTTTATTTATAGAACATACAGCCTTGGTAAAAGTTGGTATATCTTACCATGAGAACCTT